GACTTCTTCCAACAACTGGTTCTCCGAACTGCTTAGAAAGTTAACAACCGGTTCTCCCGAATAGGTGCAAACCAGCTGAATCTCACCACTGAGACATGGTGTGCAAATGTAAAAGCCACCCCTTCCAAGTCAGCAGCAGCAACTAAATCAAAAGAAAGCACCCCGAGTCCGGGTGCCTTTCCCATTTGTTCCCCCTTTTTCAGGAAGTGTTTCAATATTTAATAGCAGGTAAGTTGGATGTTATTCAGATCATTTCCTGGACAATACAGTAACTGCTGTGCATCCTCCCTTCCAAAACACGTCAGGGTGTGATCTGAATAAGACCCGGTTTGACCTGCTACCAGTATTGAAATCCTTCCCAACTCTTTCCCAAAAGGTGCTTGCAGCAGCTGCTGGGCATAGAGTGGGCAACCCCGTGCCTCTGCCGTTGCCACCCGGCAGTGGGCACATTGAAAATGAAAAGTGGGACTCGCCCATTGCACCTTGCATTGCTGAAGGCAGCCCTAATGTAGAGAAGAGCCACCATCCCTTCAGGAAAGATCCAGGAGGCATTTCAGTAGCAGATCAAGCTGGGTCTAATTCAGATCACATCCCACTATGTTTTGGATGGGAGAAGGTGCAGAGAAGAAGGTGCAGCTGTTCTTGCCCATTCCGAGCTTTGTACGGTGGTGGCGAGAGACTGCAGGATTTATTTCATCTCCCTTCCAAAACATGCCATCTGAATAAGTTTGACCTGCTATTGAAACACCTCCAGGCTCTTTCCCAAAGAGAAAGTGACTCCTCTACATTTTGCCACCTTCCATAATGCAGGGGGCGGGGTGGGGTAAGTCCTGCTTTTCGCTTTCACTGCACTTGCCACTTCCTTGCAGCAACTGGTACAAGCGACTTGCCTGTGCTGCTGGCCCCGCGGGGACTCTTCATCCTCCTGGCAGCGCTGCTCTCGGTTGCCCTGCTAAGGATCAGATCTATGACCTCTGGAGTGCCCCCGCCCACTGCAGCCTGCTAGGTCTCCTTCACCAGCAGCCACCGGTGAAGCCACGCCACCTTGCTAGCCACTGCCTTCAGGTTGCTGAGTGCCAACCTGCAAGTCTACTTGATGCTGCAGGAGCTGGGCTACAGGCTGAGTCTGGCCCTCTTTGAGCCCTGACCCTAGTGGGTGCTGCAGTTCTCAGGCCGGCTGTGCAAGGCAGCGCAGGCAGCACAGCTCTACCCGTGGCAGAGGGGCACTCTGGAGGTCATACTGTAGATCTGGGCTGACTTGCGTCATGCCAGGCAGAAGCAGCCCAGCAGGGCGGCCGAGAACATTGTTTCCAGGAGGGTGAAGAGCACCGCAAGGCCAGCAGCAGCACAGGCAGCTGCTCAGTGGCCAGCAGCCAAGAAGTGTCCCAGCAACAACAGAGCCAGCAGGCAAGGTGGGCGGAGGCCAGGGCATGCCGAAAGCCTGTGGCCACAGACAAGCAGACAGTTGGACAGAAAGGGTGGGATCGGCAGTAGCGGTGCTCCCACTCCCATCAGCCCCCATGCTTGCCGCCTCTACATGAAAAAAAGACACCCCCTCCCCTGAATAAGCCCTAATGCCTAGGGCTTTATGTGACTGGGTCTTATTTTTGGAGGAAACACGGTTAATTGTACATTAAGGACTATCTCTAAGGAAAACAGAAACAACTTACATCTGCAGCTAAGGTTGGTTTGTGCCTCTCCAGTAAGGTAAAATCTGTGAGTTTCATGTCTTTTTGGAAGGAAACCTTTGTGCTACAGGAGATATTTGCAAGCCTTTTTTGGGGGTGTATTAAAAGCAAAATGAACCTCTGGCCTCAGATATTTATGATCATTGAACCCCCCCCCCCTTGCTCAAAAGGGATAGTTTAATTTTTCCAAAATCCACGGGAAAAATGGAAAGCTCAACTCTGCTTATGGGATGAGGGGGGTCCTCCTTCATTTTTCATCAGCATCTTGCTTTCTGTAGCTTTGGCATCTCTTGCAATCTTTGGCTAGTCAACAACTCAAACAAGAACAACTCCAGGGTTATCTTAGAAATGAGTGTCATCTGCTCTGTAGGTCATGTGCACAAATGAATTTTTTTTAAACATTTATTTCTAGGCGGATGTACCGTGCTGGCTGTGACCGCTTTTGTGGCAGCTGTCAAACTGCATCGGCTTACGGAAAGAATCGCCAATTTTCGGGAAAACGGCTTCCAGTTTCTCATCCTGGAAGAAGAGTACATGCCTTCTTTCTGGCTTTGTGTAGCAAGTGCAACAATCCATGGGCTGAATTTGGTCATCATTGCCCTTAGCGCAATTCACTTCCCGACTCTGAAAATGAAGACAGAAGAAGCAAACGTTACAGCAGAAGACATCATGTACTAAGTTCTTTCTTTGCCATTTGCCTCTTCTGTATTTCCATGAGCCTTTGATCATCTGCATACTTTAAAGCCACTGACATCAAGTAAAGTTTCGGGGTCTTAAAGGGGGGAAATTACAAACGATTGATTTCAGCAAATGCTGAGGTCCCTTGACTGCTGTGTTCGTACTCTGGAAGAGGATTGTGTCTCCCTTACAGCGTTCAAAATTTTAGGAGCCTTTTCCTGCTGGTTCTAAGGTGTCATCCATAGATCTTTCAAAAGAGAAGTTTACACTACCTTTGCCCCAACCGTGACCCGTCAAAACCGTGGTCCACTAAAGCGCGCCCGATCAAAGCGCTTACGTGACGTCATCAGCAGCGCGACAAA